TTGAGGTGTGTCTCAGACCCATCGCATTGAACATAGTTATAATGTATGGACCCCCTACCAGCTCCAAACTGACCATCTCTGTACACCCTGGGACCTATAATGGTATAAAAACAGTGTAATGTTATCATCAGTCACTTACTGCTTGCTGGTAGTCCCAGTTCAGTGCATACAACTCCAGCATCATTGACATCAAACAGGTCCTTACAGACAGTGCCCCAGGTATCGTCAACACTGACCAGTAGTCGACCATACTGAGGTCCTGGTATCAACATTGGTTGACCAGCATACCTCCACTGAGGGTAGCATGTTAATACAGCATTGGGGCAGTTCTTGTAAGTGTTGTAGTCATCAAAACAGTTAGCAAGATTGCTCTCATATCCATTGCACCTTATTGAACCAACTCCTGGTGAACCTGACGACCACCAGCTGTATGAAAAATAGAATGTACTCACTACAAATAAATATATAAATAAATAATAATAATAAATTGATAATGTTATTTCTTACCTCTTGTTGATCCAAATATTGTCCTGCATGCTACAAGTGCATTTTTTGACACATAAAGATAATCATTAGTAATACAGGCTTTGCTCCATGCTCCATTATGACAGATCTGTAGTTCTCCTTCAAAGCTGTTCTCTCCATTAGCTAGTCTTATGTCAGGGGAAGTACACTCTGGTGCTATAGGGCATCTTACACTAGCATCTTCATAATGACGGCAGTTATGGCCCCAATATTTACGTTTACAGTATATCAGTTTGCGCTCAATTCCTCTGCACTGTACATCATCTAAATATATTGGACCTGTTCCTTCACCAAAATATGCATATCTAAATCCCTGAGCTCCTAGTATTGGTAAAATAGAAAATATAGTGTATTATTTATTGCAGTGACCAGTGAGTATCAGTAGTCCCTTGATATCTGCCCTCAGCTTCACCTTAAGCAGATATCTCAGTCCTCAGGTATTACATTACTTGGTGAATTTACCTGTTGACAAGTATCCTAATTGACGACACACAACTTGTGCGTCTAGGTTGTCCCAATAGTCATCACAGATGGTACCCCATTCTCCTTCATAGCACATCTCAACACGACCTTCATTAGGTACTGTACCACCCGCTAGTCTTAAATCATAGTTATGACACCTAAAAATTGATTAATAATAATAATAATAATAATAATAATAATAATAATAATAATAATAATAATAATAATAATAATGACAATAATAATAATAATAATAATAATAATAATAACAATAATAATAATAATAATGACAATAATAATAATAATAATAATAATAATGACAATAATAATAATAATGATAGTGACTAATGTTGTTTACTGGCATATCAAGTGTGCATCAATGCAGCAGTCATTGTGATCCTCACAGTCGAGTGAGCAGTGACAGACGGTGTTTGGGTTAACTCCTTGACAACTGGCACCAGTAGATGGATCACAACATGTTTCATTATAACCAGCTAATGCACAGGGACCTGGGGCTACATGATGCATTAATAATAATTATATATAATCGTAATGATAATGTTAATATCAATAATAGTATGGTATTTTTTAAATGGCTCCGAAATCAACCCAAATTTTATTACATTTTCTGATACATATTGATGTCCTTATGCTGCGTAGAAAGTTTGAGCTGATTCTGACTTCAATTTTTTGAGTTATGACTATTTTGAGAAATAGGCCAAAATCTAAAAAAATGTTTTTTTCCAAAAATTGACTAAAAATCAGTCCTAATTTTGTATAAATTATTTTCAAACAGTGATAATAAAGAGTGATCGATACTTACCACAGATCATGCTGACATCATTTGAATGCTGGCAGTTCCCTTTGTCTCCATACTGATCTTCACTGACACACTCACTGAGTTGGTTCTCTTCTCCAGTACACTCTATATCTTCAATCCATATCACCTGACCTGTGGTACCTGATCCATACACACTACTAGTGTACCCACCAGTAAATGCCTGTGCACCTGTCAATGGTCATAATAATGATCATTATATCAACACTAGTTTAAACCTCCTCCTATTGATACCAGCCATGCAGTGTGTGTGTGTGTGTGTGTGTATACCTCTCCATGGTAGCCCCATTGTCCTACAGATCACATATGCATCATAGATATCCCATTCCTTGTCACATATAGTGCCCCAGCGTCCATTGTGACACACTTCAACTCGTCCTTCCCTATCAGTAGGTCCACCCACCAGTCTTATAGTCCCAGAGGTACATGATGATTCACAGGACACTCCTATGTCATACTGGTGCCCACAGCAACTGTTGTATCCTTTACAGTCTAACAGCTGGGACTCGTTGCCATAGCAACTGACGGTCTTTGAATAAACGTCCTCAAGTCCCTGACCGTATTCATTATTATTGTAAAATGGTGTAACCTCTTTAATAAAACAATAAATAAAATAAATAAATAATTCTATTCTTACTTGATACACTCAGTCCTAAGCTCTTACACACTACAGTTGCTTCATTGACAGTAAAGCCTGTACTACAGACTGT